GAAGAGCTTGTGGAGCACATCTATCCACAACGCTATTCCATCTCTCCAATTCCATCTCTCCATCTCTCCCATACATTGTCTGCTCTGCATCCCCAATCCAAGAAAGTCATCCAAGTAGCCAAGTTTTGATTTTATTCAGTTACTGACATCTCAGAAGAGAACCTTGCAATGCTGCTGTTGGTAACCAACATTTTTTACTGTAGCGTTGACGTTACACTGAAAAAGCGCTATTTCAAAACAAACACAAGTCCCTCATCATTAGTGATATGTAAGAGGCAGAGAATATCCCGCCTGGGTGGCTTTGCATGAAACAAACAGATGAAAATGTTTCTGCCTTTTCTTTTGTCTTTTTAGTCGCTTCACATATATTAATACATATTTATACCTATAAACACTTTTTACCTATATACCTATAAAAAAAACAAAATATTCAGTCACATGTACTGGAAAAAGCTCCACTTTGAAATCACAATGATAAATGTACAATACAATGATAAATGTTTAATATAAATGTCATGGTAATAGGTAGAGAGACTTTACTGTCATCAGTAAAGATCATAATGGATAAAAAATAAACTCAGAGATTCAGCGTTTCCTGAGGTTCTTGTGTTCCCCCTTGAGGACCAGGAGAAGGCAATGGCTTTTACGTCACATCACTGAGGAGCTGTTACGAGAGGTGAAAGTGTACCTAATAACAACCAGGGAATGTGATCACAATATAATGATAATAGAATGAGTGGCTGCCATTGTCCTATTATTCTCTTATCATGTTTTTCTTCTGTTGCTCAGTGATTGAGTTACACGCTAATGAATCCATTTGACACCACCCACCAGGAGCTTGTATCAGCATGTTAGAGAGGGCTATTCAGAAGGGAAAAAACAGGTGGGTTATCTGTAATCCTTCAATGGGAATATGTGTATCATTATGCTACTGATAAATCTCAGACAGAGATAGGCTATTCATGGTGCACTTTGAACTGGCGTGACGCTCACTCTCAGTCCTGAATTCCTAAAGAGTCTGACGCTATCAGCCATCACCAGAGACCACCCCAACCTGGTTGTCTTAGTCTAGCCCCACTTTGACCATGTGAATGTCATCTGACCTGACTACCTTTCAAAGCAGTCACATCTGTCTGCATTTGATGCAATGCACTAAAGAAATGTCTGAGTAAATATAAACAGGCAAGGTAGGGTGAGAAAATATAATGGACAAAAATGTAAAGTATTTTGAAAAATCTGTACATGTAAACATCACACTTTCACTGAGTCCAAAAAAACAGAAAGAAAAAATACAAAGCTTCACATTGGTATACAGTACATTACAAGCCCCTGCATAGAACTACAGTCTCTGGCCAGTGCAGGAGAAGTAACAAATCAAATAATATCAAGAACAATAGAAGTTTTACAGAGCACCACCAACTGTTAAAACAGGCAAGGTTTGAACTTGAAACCACATACATTTTTCTGGAACCGTGCTGTACCCCACAGAAAAATGATTTAGGTTTAAAATGTTTATTTTAAAAACTTTTGTACAGCTATATATATATATCTGACCACATCAGCAATCCAAAAGTTACTAGGGCTTTTACGCTCAGTTTTTTATAAAATATCTATATATTAAATTGTCCTGCCAATGCAACGAGAAATCCCACTGGAATAAAATGTGTCTACAAATGGTTGTGTTTCATTGGTCACAGTAACTGCAGCACACACATAAAATGTAGCTCGTAGTCTTAAGATAAATTAAGAAGATACCATTTTTGGGATACACAAAGCAAAGTGATGCGTTAGTTAGAAACGTGACTGTTTAGAATTTAGATAAACCCGGCATCAGTAACATAATGTGTATCTGCATTATGATATGTTGTTGTCTAACCTAGCTATCTTAAGATGAATGCACTAATTGTAAGTCGTTCTGGATAAATGACTAAAATGCAAATGTAAGTGTAGAAGGCAGTTTACTGATGGCTGTTGGAGCTTATGGCTGGCCAAAAGTAGAAAAGGGGCAAGTAGAGGTGGAGGAGACATGGAAGACATTTGAGAGTATCGGGACAGAGCCCTACCCACTGGGCACAGACGTCAATTCGACATCTATTCCACGTTGGTTCAACGTAATTTCATTGAAATGACATGGAAACAACATTGATTCAGCCAGTGTGTGCCCTAGTGGGTACACTCTTAGAAAAAAGGGTTCCAAAATGGTTATTCGGCTGTCCCCATAGGAGAAACCTTTTTGATTCCAGGTAGGACCCTTTTTGGTTCCAGGTAGAACCCTTTTTGGTTCCAGATAGAACTCTTATGGGTTCCATGTCGAACCCTCTGGGGAAAGGGTTCTACAATGGAACCCAATAGGGTTCTACCTGGAACCAAAATGGTTCTACCTGGAACCACAAAGAGTTCTTCAAAGGGTTCTTGTATGGTGACCCTTTTATAGTCTGTTCTAGATAGCACCTTTTTTTCGAAGAGTGTAGGTATAGCTATCAAGTTGATTGATCCAAATGAGTCTATTCAAATTAACAATTTACCTGCGTTCAAATGTGTACACAAGCCTGAGCCCCCATGATTTTTCAAAATAACCGTTTCTAAAACCTGACTAGTCTAGCTAAAATACAATTTCAGAAGTCTGATGTGTGCAAAATATAATGCTCTTTTAAAGCAGCACATTTCTTGTGTTGCTAGTAAAAATTCAGATTGAAATTATTTAGTTTTTAAAACAGTGAGATTGGCTGAATTTTGCATGAGCCTTGCCATGTACTTTATAACCCAATATTGTGCATTGTAATAATGTTTCCCACATCAAATTATCCATAAGATTATCAGTTCAGTGGACAAAATTAATCTACATTTAAATTGATACAGACATCCAAACTAAAAAGTAAAACACACACTCATATCAGCTCTCATCATAGACCACCATGACCAACCCATTGTCAGGCATGTGTATCTTAAATGTGTAAATTGAATATGTGAATCAAGTATGATTGTTCTGTAACAATGTCCGGTTACAAATATATACCATGTTATTTTATCCTGAGCTGTAAAGTGCTTCCAAACTTGCAATAGATTATGCATTTGAAATATAATAAAGAAGTCACATGATGTCATGGATGGTGACCATAAATAAATGACAGATTATTTTGTGCATGTCATTTTAGACTGACCTGTTCTTGGAATGATCATCATCACAGCAATGTAGTAGATATATGTGCTGCTGACATCATTTATTATAAATGACACTGAAATATATTCCTCTTTGATATGAATTATCTGACAAATCTATAAGGTGCTGACCAGGTTGACTACTTCAAATAATATTTTGTCTTTGTTTGGAATGTTTAAGCGTACAGCGCAAACTTTTTTACAAAATAGTTTTGAAAGGGCAACTCCACTTCACTTACACAACAAACAGAAAAAATGCCAACGTTTAACAACAATAAAAAAAAGTTGGGAAATCTAATTCTTACAACACACATCTATACGACTGCTTAGGGCTGAGTGCTCAAATGACTGGCCTGTCAAAGTCTGTTGACAGAGAGCATGTTACGGCTCCAGTACTCTGTGCTGCTCTCACATACAGTACACACACCATAGCAAGGAATTGTTGAGTAAACTGTGATGCCATCACACGATCAAGATTGTCTTTTGCTTCTTTTTTAAACAGTGTGTTTTATGTCGTAATTTCTGCTGATGAGAAATGCAAAGACGGGTAAGAAAAAGGAGTTGAGGTGGAGAGAACATTGTGGGATTTTGAGGGAAATCCTTTTCTATAGCAGGCCAACAGCCGTTACAAGGAGCGCAATGCATTCACCATACATTTCCATGAGACGACCATGTAACGTTCATGAGACAAAGTTTATGACACAACCATATGCTGTTCATATCTGCCTGACTTAAACCAACACAAAATGTTACACTCTGAAATAATCTCAAATTACTTAACAAAGGTTCATTGACCTCAAGTCTGCTATCATTGTATATCAGGTCCTCTGTCCTATTCACATCTGTCTGATTGGTGCTAGTCAGTGAAAGGCCTCAGTTATGAGGTTCCAGATAATGAAGAGCATCGTTCAGAACAAGCAACAATGAAGCTACAGTGCTGCCATGAGACATACTTTCTTTTTACACAGCATTCCTGATTGACAACTAACGTTACTGCTCACAGAGGAGCCTCACAAAGTCTCATGGGATGTTTGTGGTAAATCTGCTATCTCTGTGGAATGTTTTACAGATTAGCTCATCATGCTGAGACTGAAAGCATGAGGAGGAGGTAGAGGTACGCTAAGAAGACCTCCTTTTGCACAATGTCCCACAAAAAGACTTCACCATCATGAGTATGTTGACATTGGCTTGACTTGCCAAGTGGCATATCCATACATGCACATTTACTGATTATCTTCCATATTGCACCCTGTTCCACACTTTTCCCAGAAGCATTAACCTTTTATCCTACGATCCAAAGCCTATAGGTTTGGACACATTACAGTACTTTACCCTACAGGTTTAACATCCCCCTTTTCTATGATCACAACTTTAACTTTAAAAACTCCTGTTGAGGTTTATTAGAGCAGTGGCAGAATGTCAAATCTGAAGCGGCAATTCATGTTTGACAAATACCTCCTCAGAGTTTAGAAAGAAAATCTATGGAAGGAGGTGACTTTGCAGTGTTTCTGGGGGTATGGATGAAGTGGGTGAGGAGTAGGTTTGTTATGGGAATGTCAAAAGCTAACTGGGCACTAAGATCAGTGTGAATGTATGGATTGTATATTTCTGTAAATAGTTTCTGCTCCTGTGACCATATATCTACAATCTACTATCTATATGGCCCAATTGTGCGATGCACTTTTACTCTTACTCTTTACTTTGACACTTTACTCAGTTTTACTCTTGATTAAGTGTCTGTCTGTCTAAATGTGTGTGACTGAGGGTGATAGTACAGACGGACAGCCTGGGGAGACGGGTCTTTGCACGGCATGGTTCGTCCGGTCTTGCCTGGTTCTGGTTCAGTTCTGCTGCAGGATCAGGTTCTCCAGCTCGTCTGCAGAACGGAGCAGGAAGGCGGCAGACTCTCGGTACCCGGCGATGAGCTGCCTCACCGCTGTGACCTCAGGGGGGCTGAGCTGAGCCGAGGCACCTCCCCCGCCTCCACCCTGACCACTGTGACTGTTAGAACTGGAGGAAGAGGAGGAGGTGGGAGCCACAGACTTCATACTGAGATCAGTGGGACCTGGAGAGAGAAATGATAGTGTACTTTAAGTGTGATAACCCCATACAGTAAAGAAAGCACAAGATTATTGGGTCACACTTTATTTGGATAGTCCATCTGTAGATGCTCTACAGATTATCATACTTTCAACAAACTATCTGTTGATAAGCAACTGACTATCTGTTGACAAGCAAGTGACCATCTGTTGCTAAGCAACTGCTTCCTAAGGTTAGGGTTAGGGTACGGTTTAGAATAAGGGTTAGGGTAAGGGTTAAGGTTAGAGCTAGGGTTAGGGTAAGGGTTAAGGTTAGAGCTAGGGTTAGGGTAAGGGTTAAGGTTAGGGCTAGGGTTAGGGTAAGGGTTAAGGTTAGGGCTAGGGTTAGGGTAAGGGTTAAGGTTAGGGCTAGGGTTAGGGTAAGGGTTAAGGTTAGGGCTAGGGTTAGGGTAAGGGTTAAGGTTAGAGCTAGGGTTAGGGTAAGGGTTAAGGTTAGGGCTAGGATTAGGGTAAGGGTTAAAGTTAGAGCTAGGGTTAGGGTAAGGGTTAAGGTTAGAGCTAGGGTTAGGGTAAGGGTTAAGGTTAGAGCTAGGGTTAGGGTAAGGGTTAAGGTTAGGGCTAGGGTTAGGGTAAGGGTTAAGGTTAGGGCTAGGGTTAGGGTAAGGTTTAAGGTTAGGGCTAGGGTTAGGGTAAGGGTTAAGGTTAGGGCTAGGGTTAGGGTAAGGGTTAAGGTTAGAGCTAGGGTTAGTAGATAGTTAGTTCAAAAATGACTGATATTCTGTAGATAGTCCATCTGTAGATGCTCTACAGGCTATCCAAATAAAGTGTTACCGATTATTTATATACAGAAGGCCTATAGAACATGTAACATTATTGATATGCAATATAGGCAATCATTAATCACACTAATATAGATACAGGTACATACAGTACAAAAACACATTCCCATTGAATCTCAGTCTAAGAATCTAGGAATTGGGTAGAAGCTAATTACCATTGGTCTGTGTAGTGGTGGCAGCAGTGGTCGGCAGGTTGTTGCTCATTGCTCCGTAACTGCGGAAGCTGTAGTTGAGGCCCCCGTTGGTGCCGTTGGTGTACACTGGGTCCTGAGACTGGGAGTAGGCTGAGACAGCCAGGGAGAACCCTGAGGGGGCAACTGAGGCCAGGTCCCTGGAGGCGTTCTTATCAACAGCTGCAGGTTCCTCCTACAGGAGTAGCTACAATAGTTATTACACTGTACTTACAGGAAAAATAACATAGTAATAAGAACATGTAAAGTGTTAGCAAGATATACAGTATTTGAATCTACTGTAGCTACATACTGTATGTACATACTGCTAATGATGTTACCGACAGAAGAACATGCACTTTATCTACTGTAATGGATGAACAAACACACAAATGAACACACTTCAAAATATAATTAATTAACAAATACACAAATGCTGTGAACACACAAATACATGTACACTCACAGGGCCTTGATAGACATCTAGTCGCATCCTCTTGGCAGCGTTGCGTGTCTCACTTTCACAAGCAGCAGCGAGAATGTTCTCAGCCATGGCAGAGGTGAGGTGTGGGGGTGTGGGCCGCGTCTGACAGCACAGACAACAGTGTTAAGGATGTGCAGTATAACATTCATGTGTGAGTGAATTTAGTGAATATTTATGCATGTTCATGAAACGTGGTTCTGAAATTGTACTTTGGCGGATACAAAGTGATAGCTTTCTACAAATCCTGGCCATCCCAGTCTCTACAAACAATCAACCCCCTTCAAATGAAATTCCAAGTTTAAGAACACTGGGAAACGGCGGCACTCCAAAATGGTTATAAAAAAGACAGTTATGTCTTCATCAGAGCATCAAGAGCATCTTAGAGTTACAGTTGATGAACTGTCTCTGGTAGAACTTTCAGCCAGTAAGAGGGTGTGTGTAGTATTTACAGTTTGCCGTGTTGTTACATTGAGCACATCTTCCACACTTATAGTTCCCAGTTTGAACGGTCAGGCTTTTGGAAAGAATGAACCAGCGTATCCCTGATCGTACGTGGGCGTCTGTATGAGAACATACCACTAGAGGCTGGAGCATCGGCTCTGTTTGTAGAATAGGCCAATATTTCAGGATAGATTTTTTTAAACAATCATTGAAGTCTGTTACAAAGCACAGCCATGGCGTGCTGTCCTTTTGGGGCTTCTGAGCTAGAAGTGACGGTCTGGGCATGTCCGTGTACCACTGTTTTCCAATGTTCTTGAACTTGGGATTTCACTTGAAGTCATTGTCATATATGGCAGAGCGCCCAACTAATAAAGCGACATAGCGCACCTGTTACCCACTCCACAATCAACCCCACTTCATAAGATCACAAGACTACCATCTACTAAATAGGGGGAGATGGGCTAGGGACTATGGGGAGGATACTGAGGGGAACAGTGCCTACCTCAAAACCAACCTTCTTCATACGGCGGCAGGACTTGAGGTAGGTGCGGATGCGCTTGCGGGAGCGCTCCTGGAACTCAGGGAACTGTCGGCTGCATGACTCGATGATGGCCTGGATCTTCTCCTTGGGCTGCTTGGAGATGGGCACCATGCGGTCCAGATTCTCATCCACAAACAGACGAACAAACATCTGAGAGGGTAGAGATATAGGGGGGGAAGGGAGGAGAGAGAGGAGGATGGGGTGTAGAAGGGAGGAGAGGGGGAAGATAGGTTTGGACGATGGGAGGTGTAGAGGGGAGAGGAGGAGGGGGTGTAGAGAAGGGGGAAGCAAGAGGGGGATGTGTACAGACAAAAAGAGCAAAAGCAGAAGTGGGGGAGAAAAAATGGAGGTAGAGCAGGAAAGAGGGTGCAAAGAAAGGGAGAGTGGTTAAATAAAGAGGGGGGAGAGATGAGAGTAGAGAAGATATAGTGAATGCAAAAATACATTCACAATGAACAATAACAGGATAATGGTCTTAAGGTTGAGGAGTGCCATTTTACATTTTCCCTCTAACATTTATATTCTTTTGAAAAAGTGCTAACTTGACTTCTTTGTTGATATTTGGGTTGCAGAAAGACCAATTGTGTTGCATAAAGGCCAATTTCTAATTAATTCACCCCTTGAAGTTTATATTTACTAGTGACAGCTGCGATGAGACTCTTACATTAAATGCTTTCAGCCTCTCTGGGTCCATCCCCTCAGCGTCAGTGATCTTGTCACTGTCATCGTGGTCGTCATGATCGTCATCATCATCATCGATGATCTGAGCACGCCCAGAGGTCAGGTCCTCAGCACTCATGTTCAGTTCTGTCTTCACCGAGTCATAGCTTCCGGAGCTGTACTGAGGAGACTGTAAACACCCACACAGAAACAAACACTGTTACTATTGCTACAGATGAGGACTCAAAACAGCATTCAAGTTGTAATAAAACATCTGGTGTGGCGATCACCACAAGGCCCTATTCAAATGTATTTTCTGTCCTTACCTTGTTGCCGTAGTCTGATTTCCCGGGGGACTTCTTCGTAGGGTCAGCTGGGTAGGGCGTCCCAACAGGGCTCCCCACAGGCAGCAGTCTGTCAGTCAGATTGACTGGTTGCTGGTCCTCTGAGGAGGAAGAGGATGAGGTGGTGGTGCTGAAGTTCAGGGGAGCGCTCACCCCGTTCTCAGTCACCTCCCTGTATGGAGCCACACCATCTGGAGGAACACTGCCCACAACCATCGCCTCCGGGGGGGTCAGGGCTGGCAGCCCGTTGGCACTGCCACTCTCAGAGTCGTCATCTGAATGAGAAAGAGAGAGAGAGAGCGAGAGAGGGAGAGAGAGAGAGAGAGAGTGAGAGAGAGAGAGAGAGAGAGTCAGAGAGAGAGAGAGAGAGAGAAAGATCAATTGTGATTTGGGGGGTTATTTATTTAAATCCGCTGATTTGGGAACACCACTACCCCTTTTTCCAGTGAGCCATGATATAGTAAATGAATTAATCTCAATAAATCCAGATATTATCATCCATAAAATGTTCCTCTTCCCGGTCCCCATTTGAAAATGTGAATTGCCGAATCCTACCTATAGAGGTTTTTGCTAACTTTCATATAAGTAAGATGACTTGGTGTGTTGTGAGGCTCAAATTGCTTTTTTCTATTGTGTTGACTACTTAGAATCTAGCCAGTGCAAAATATGTGACTTTTTCTTTGAATCCACTATTCAATACAAACTGGTAATCAGAGTGTCTGGTTGTCTAGAGTTCTTAATATCTGTAGTTTCTTAGTGGATGTCCACTTTCCCATCATGAGTTAGTCATGGATGGAGGTGGGGGTGGCTGGAGGTCCCTCAGCCATTAGGGATGATTGAGGTTGGGGTGGGGTAGTGAAACATCACACATAATGAGGGATTTGGTGGGATTAGTACATTAATCGAAGCACAAGCTGCTCCCTATCCTATACAACTAGTATATGGCCCTCCCACACCTGCAGTACATCCCAAATCCCACTGAAAACCAATGAAAACAGGGACATACTGTAAACAAACAAACATACAGTATGAACAAACACACACACACACACACAAACACAAACACACACGAAAAGGCCATTGTCTTACCGTCCTCCTCTTTCAATGCGGCTTGTGGGCCGTGTACCATCCCTCCATTGGGGGGACTGAGCTCAGGTACAGGGGGACGCTCAGCAGAGACCCACGTGGGCTCAGCCATATCCATGTCCTCACTGCTCACCGAACTTTCATCCTGAGAAGAGAGAGAGCGAGATAGAAAGAGGAGAGAAAGATTGAGACATTCCTCAAAGTACTATTTCGTCCCTGAGGACGACTGAACAGGCTGCTGAAGATTTGATTGGATTTAATTTATTAGGATCCCCATTAGCCGATGCCAATGGCGACAACTAGTCTTACTGGGGTCCGACACATAACGAACAAGACATTACAGACAAAATACTTCACAATTGATATACATTTAAAAACATTAACATGCAGTGTGTGTGTGTGCATCTATCAGTTACACATACTGTACATGTCGTGAGGTGTTGCTTTATTTGTTTTTTGAAACCAGGTTTGCTGTTCACTTGCGCTATATGAGATGGAAGGGAGTTCCATGCACTCATGGCTCTGTATAATACTGAACGTGTCCTTGAATTTGTTCTCGATACCCCTGGTGGCATGTCTGATTACAATGAAGAGCAAGACATGCAGCTCTGTTCTGGGCCAACTGCATCTTAACTAGGTCTTTTTTGCAGCACTTGACCATATGACTGGACAATAATCAAGATAAGATAAAACTACAGCCTGCAGGACTTGCTTTGTGGAGTGTGGTGTTCAAAAATCAGAGCATCTCTTTATTACGGACAGACCTCTCCCCATCTTTACAACCATTGAATCTATATGTTTTGACCATGACAGTTTACAATCTAAGGTAACACCAAGTAATTTCGTCTCCTCAACTTGTTCAACAGCCACACCATGCACTACCGGATCCAGCTGAGGTCTAGAAATTTGGGAATGATTTTTACAAAATACAATGCTCTTAGTTTTACATTTGTTCAGGACCAGTTTATTACTGGCCACCCATTCCAAAACAGACTGCAACTCTTTGTTAAGGGTTTCAGTGACTTCATTAGCTGTGGTTGCTGATGTGTATATGGTTGAATCATCAGCATACATGGACACACATGCTTTGTTTAATGCCAGTGGCAGGTCATTGGTAAAAATAGAAAAGAGTAGAGGGCCTAGAGAGCTGCCCTGCGGTACAAACACTTTACATGTTTGAGAAGCTTCCTTTCCTCTGTAGCTCAATAGCTCAATTGGTAGAGCATGGCGCTTGTAACGCCAGGGTAGTGGGTTTGATCCCCGGGACCACCCATACGTAAAAATTTATGCACACATGACTGTAAGTCGTTTTGGATAAAAGCGTCTGCTAAATGGCATATTATTATTAAAGAAAACCCTCTGAGTTCTATTAGATAGATAGCTCTGAATCAATGATATATGGCCAAAATCTCACACAAATTATCAAGGAACCTACCAGATACAACCCTAAATCCGTAAACATGGGCGTCCTCATAGATATCATCCTGACTAATTTACCCTCTAAATACACCTTCGCTGTCTTCAACCAGGATCTCAGCGATCACTGCATCATTGCCTGCGTCCGTAATGGGTCAGCGGTCAAACAACCACCCCTCATCACTGTCAAACACTCCCTAAAACACTTCAGCGAGCAGGCCTTTCTAATTGACCTGGCCCGGGTATCCTGGATGGATATTGACCTCATTCCGTCAGTAGAGGATGCCTGGATGTTCTTCAAAAGTGCTTTCCTCTCCATCTTAAATAAGCATGCCCCATTCAAAAAAATCAGAACTAAGAACAGATATAGCCCCTGGTTCACCCCAGACTTGACTGCCCTTGACCAGCACAAAAACATCCAGTGGCATACTGCATTAGCATCGAATAGCCCCCACGATATGCAACTTTTCAGGGAAGTCAGGAACCAATATACACAATCAGTTAGGAAAGCAAAGGCTAGCTTTTTCAAACAGAAATGTGCATCCTGTAGCACTAACTCCAAAACGTTTTGGGACACTGTAAAGTCCATGGAGAATAAGAACACCTCCTCCCAGCTACCCACTGCACTGAGGCTAGGAAACACTGTCACCACCGATAAATCTACGATAATCGAGAATTTCATAAGCATTTTGCTACGGCTGGCTATGCTTTCCACCTGGCTACCCCTACCCCGGCCACCAGCTCTGCACCCTCCGCTGCAACTTGCCCATGTCCCCCCCGCTTCTCCTTCATCCAAATTCAGATAGCTGATGTCCTGAAAGAGCTACTAAATCTGGACCCCTACAAATCAGCTGGGCTAGACAATCTGGACCCTTTCATTCTAAAATTAGCCGCCGAAATTGTCGCAACCCCTATTACTAGCCTGTTCAACCTCTCTTTCGTATCGTCTGAGATCCCCAGAGATTGGAAAGCTGCAGCGGTCACCCCCCTCTTCAAAGGGGGTGACACTCTAGATCCAAACTTTTACAGACCTATATCCATCCTGCCCTTCCTTTCGAAAGTATTTGAAAGCCAAGTTAACAAACAGATCACCGACCATTTCGAATCTCACCGTACCTTCTCCGCTATGAAATCTGGTTTCCGAGCTGGTCATGGGTGCACCTCAGCCAAGCTCAAGGTCCTAAACGATATACAGTGAGGGAAAAAAGTATTTGATCCCCTGCTGATTTTGTATGTTTGCCCACTGACAAAGAAAGGATCAGTCTATAATTTTAATGGTAGGTTTATTTGAACAGTGAGAGACAGAATAACAACAACAAAATCTAGAAAAACGCATGTCAAAAATGTTATAAATTGATTTGCATTTAATGAGGGAAATAAGTATTTGACCCCCTCTCAATCAGAAAGATTTCTGGCTCCCAGGTGTCTTTTATACAGGTAACGAGCTGAGATTAGGAGCACACTCTTAAAGGGAGTGACCAGAACTACACTGGAGGATCTTGTAAATGATCTCAAGGCAGCTGGGACCATAGTCACCAAGAAAACAATTGGTAACACACTACGCCATGAAGGACTGAAATCCTGCAGCGCCCGCAAGGTCCCCCTGCTCAAGAAAGCACATATACAGGCCCGTCTGAAGTTTGCCAATGAACATCTGAATGATTCAGAGGAGAACTGGGTGAAAGTGTTGTGGTCAGATGAGACCAAAATCAAGCTCTTTGGCATCAACTCAACTCACCGTGTTTGGAGGAGGAGGAATTCTGCCTATGACCCCAAGAACACCATCCCCACCGTCAAACATGGAAGTGGAAACATTATGCTTTGGGGGTGTTTTTCTGCTAAGGGGACAGGACAACTTCACCGCATCAAAGGGACAATGGACAGGGCCATGTACCATCAAATATTGGGTGAGAACCTCCTTCCCTCAGCCAGGGCATTGAAAATGGGTCGTGGATGGGTATTCCAGCATGACAATGACCCAAAACACACGGCCAAGGCAACAAAGGAGTGGCTCAAGAAGAAGCACATTAAGATCCTGGAGTGGCCTAGCCAGTCTCCAGACCTTAATCCCATAGAAAATCTGTGGAGGGAGCTGAAGGTTCGAGTTGCCAAACGTCAGCCTCAAAACCTTAATGACTTGGAGAAGATCTGCAAAGAGGAGTGGGACAAAATCCCTCCTGAGATGTGTGCAAACCTGATGGCCAACTACAAGAAACGTCTGACCTCTGTGATTGCCAACAAGGGCTTTGCCACCAAGTACTAAGTCATGCTTTGCAGAGGGGTCAAATACTTATTTCCCTCATTAAAATGCAAATCAATTTATAACATTTTTGACATGCGTTTTGTTCTGGAATTTTTTTTTGTTATTCTGTCTCTCACTGTTCAAATAAACCTACCATTAAAATTATAGACTGATCATGTCTTTGTCAGTGGGCAAACGTACAAAATCAGCAGGGGATCAAATACTTTTTTCCCTCACTGTAATAACCGCGATCGATAAAAGACAGTACTGTGCAGCCGTCTTCATTGACCTGGCCAAAGCTTTTGACTCTGTCAATCACCGCATTCTTATTGGCAGACTAAATAGCCTTGGTTTCTCAAATGACTGCCTCGCCTGGTTCACCAACTACTTCTCAGATAGAGTTCAATGTGTCAAATCGGAGGGCCTGTTGTCTGGACCTCTGGCAGTCTCTATGGGTGTGCCACAGGGTTCAATTCTCGGGCCGACTCTATTCTCTGTGTATATCAATGATGTCGCTCTTGCTGCTGGTAAATCTCAGATCCACCTCTACGCGGATGACACCATTTTGTTTACATCTGGCTCTTCATTGGACACTGTGTTAACAAACCTCCAAACGAGCTTCAATGCCATACAACACTCCTTCCGTGGCCTCCAACTGCTCTTAAATGCTAGTAAAACTAAATGCATGCTCTTCAATCGAACGCTGCTTGCACCCGCCCGCCCGACTAGAATCACTACTCTCAGCGGGTCTCACTTAGAATATGTGGACAACTACAAATACCTAGGTGTAGCTTACCGATCACTGCACCTGTACACAGCCCATCTGTAATTAGCCCACCCAACTACCTCATCCCCATATTGTTATTTACATTGTTATTTATTTTGCTCATTTGCACCCCAGTATCTCTATTTGCACATCATCTTCTGCACATTTATCACTCCAGTGTTAATACTAAATTGTAATTATTTTGCACTATGGCCTATTTATTGCCTTACCTCCATAACTTACTACATTTGCACACACTGTATATAGATTTTCTATTGTGTTAATGACTGTATGTTTTGTTTATTCCATATGTAACTCTGTGTTGTTGTTGTTTTTATCGCACTGCTTTGCTTTATCTTGGCCAGGTTGCAGTTGTAAATGAGAACTTGTTCTCAACTGGCTTACCTGGTTAAATAAAGGTAACTGGCTTCTACCTGGTTAAATAAAGGTTAAATAAAAATAAATAAAATAAAAATGGCAAATGTTGAAAAGCCATAACACATAAGTTCTCAACAACAGGTTATGGTCAATACGACACCGGATTCAAAAATTAGAATCTTTCAATTTAAATTATTATATAAAATTCTTGCTACCAATAGAATGTTATTTATATGGGAGATACAATCTTCCCAGCTCTGCAGGTTTTGCTGTGAAGAGACAGAATCATTAGATCATTTGTTTTGGTTCTGTCCATTTGTAGCTTGTTTTTGGACACAGGTCCAGGAATGGCTAAAGGATTGCAATATTTACCTGGAACTAACATTGCAGATAGCATTACTGGGTGATCTGAAAAGTCATAGTCAATCAATCAATAATATAATAATACTTTTAGCAAAAATGTTTATTTTTAATTCACAATCTGTAGAAGCAATGAGAATAGAAAGGTTCAGAATTTTTGTAAAACATCACAGTACGGTTGAAATATATATGGCAAATAGAAATCCTATATGGATGGTGTTAGGAGATAGATGGGAGGTATTGAATAGAGTTGAAGGATGGGACTAATAACAAATAACAACAAATAATAACAAAGATAGCTAATAATGTAAGCATACTGTGTCCATAATAAGTATATAGGTTGTATGTTGGGAGCTTTTGGGAAGGAGCACAGTTAGAAAGATATGGCATATAGAAGCAAACCGGATGGACACCATGAAAATGATCGGAGAGGTTGAGAGTAGAAGAAGTTCAGGAGCAAAAAAAATATATATATATATATATATATATATATATATATATATATATAATAGAATTATTGTAAAATGAACTCTGTCCATAAGGTGTAGATAGTGAGTATAGACCGGAAGTAGAGGCCTGGGCATTGTTGTTCACTAATTTACTCCAAGTAGGGAAAGGATGGTGGGGTTGAAAAGTAATAAAGGGGAGTATATATATAAAAAAAATATAAAAAACATGGGGGATTGGAAGTGATGCAGACAATTACATTGATAGAAGATACAATCTATCTGCAATATTAAGCTGATCCATTCCCCCCGAAAAAAATAAATGAAAAAAAAATAAAAGGTTATGGTCAAAGGCTGCACTGAATTCTTTCAGTACAACTCCCACAATCTTCTTATTATCAATTTCTTTCAACCAATCATCAGTCATTTGTGTCAGTGCAGTACATGTTGAGTGCCCTTCTCTATAAACATGCTGAAAGTCTGTTGTTCATTTGTTTACAGAGAAATAGCATTGTATTTGGTCAAACACCATTTTTTCCAACAGTTTGCTAAGAGCTGGCAGCAAGCTGATAGGTCTGCTGTTAGAACCAGTAAAGGCCGCTTTACCACTCTTGGGTCGCGGAATGACTTTGGTTTCCCTCCAGGCCTGAGGACAAAGACTTTCCTCTAGACTCAGATTAAAGATATGACAGATAGGAGTGGCTATAGAGTCAGCTACCATCCTCAGTAGCTTTCCATCTAAGTTGTCAATACCAGGAGGTTTGTCATTATTGATCGATAACAATCATTTTTCCCACCTCTCCCACACTAACTTGTAGAGAGCAGCAGACTACAGGAGGAAAATCACATACACTCTTTTCATGTGAGCGAGCATTCAGTACACGTGTCAAACACACATAATAATATGCATTATTACAAATGTCAATAGAAAGCACTGTACACAGTCACAGTTTAGCCAATGCCATTTTCTCCTGACACTGCTGACACCACTGTGGAATTTTGACAGCAAAAGGGTAAGAATGAGGGAGCAAATCTCCCTGTTAAATAATGTGTCTTGCAGCACTGCTATTTTTAACTGTGGAAAGAAGAAACCTCAAACATGCTCCCGATATCGGAACACAGACAGGAGTGGACCAGAGTGGGTTAGTTGCCAGAACTTGAGGAAAATAATCAACAAACACAGACAATGGTGGTGCTGAACACTGGATTATCATATAGGGGGAGGGAGGGTACCTAGTCAGTTGTACAACTGAATGCATTCAACTGAAATGTGTCTTCCGCATTTAACCCAACCCCTCTGAATCAGAGAGGTGTGGGGGGCTGCCTTAATCAACATCCACCTCATCAGCACCCGGGGAGCAGTTGTTGTTGGGGGTTAACTGTCTTGCTCAAGAACAGAACAACATATATTTACCTTGACGGCTCAGGGATTTGATCCAGCAACCTTTGGGTTACTGGCCCAACACTCATACACACCAAGCTACCTGCTACTGAACCTCTACCAACAAGGAGGACAATAACTCTGTATGTATCACTCTGCAATACAGTGGAGTACCTAATCACAGAGAAGCAACCCAACACAGAGAAACAACATCCACAATACCTGAATATTTGATACTGTCTCTGTAAAGATCTCAGTATTGTCTTGTCGCTGCCAATCAACATGCTTCTGGTCCTCTTGTAGAATGGATGACCAAGACTTTGGTAAAGTGGTTACTTACAAGCTAGCCTTGCAAGCCTCCTGATCTTGTGAGCATAGTCTGGTAATTTAGGCTACTTACAAGCAGCCCCGGCCTATATCCATGATGAAAGAAAACATCTACTGCTCTTTCCAGGCCAGGGGTTTTGCCAATGGGGTTAGCTTATTTATGAATACACTTGCTAATGCCTCTGAATAAAAACCCTGCATATATCATGAATGCAAGAGAACACGATTGGCAGAACCCCACACATACAGTACAGTACAATAAGCACACACTGCTATCCTCCTGAGGAAATGCAACACACCCCTCTGAGGGTTCTGTAGAGGACTGAGGCGTTTACTGAAGGCTCTATTAGTGATGCATGGCGTAATAAAGAGAGGGAGAGTGGGCGAGAGTGGGCGAGAGAGCTTGAGAGAGAGGCAGAGATCTCTCTCTCTCTCTCTCTCCCTCTCTCTCCCTCTCTCTCTCCCTCTCTCTCTCTCTCTCTCTCTCTCTCTCTCTCTCTCTCTCTCTCTCTCTCTCTCTCTCTCTCTCTCTCTCTCTCTCTCTCTCTCTCTCTCTCTCTCTCTCTCTCTCTCTCTCTCTCTCTCTCTCTCTCTCTCTCTCTCTCTCTCTCACACACCACCACACCACACACACACACACACACACACACTATGCCTTACCCGCTCATTGGCAGTCATGCACTGTAGTTTCATCTGTTTCAGGTAGGTGGCAGTCAGGGGCATGTTGTAGTCAATGAGGTCCGGGACCAGAGATGTTGGTCGATCATTTTCTGTACACATATAGAGGTTGGTGGCACCTTAATCGGGGATGACGGGCTCGTGGTAATGGCTGGATTGGAATTCGTGGAATGGTATCAAATACATCAAACACATGGTTTGATGCCATTCCATTGGCTCCGTTCCAGCCATTATTATGAGCCGTCCTCCCCTCAGCAGCATCCACTGACATAGAGATAGATACAGTAAGATATTTTTCTAGACAAACAATCAAGTAAAGCAAGCCAGCTATGATGTCTTTTGTACCACTTTAACTGAACAAAACTCTCATGGCTCAAACCTAACAGACACGCATTTAGAGCTTTTTTAGTTCTCCCACGTGCCCTTGGGGCTCTGCCACTCCCTGCACTGTCTATTGGTTTTCTTTGACCAGAGAGTTAATTCATCTGATCTGGTTACTCTGATTTCTCTGATCTTAATTAGACTCAGTCTCTGATTAAAAGGTAATAATGACAACCAGTAGACAGTAGGCACTGTGGCCCTTTTTTTCATATTCTGTTGTTTACTCACTGTGTATGTACAGTATATACTGTATTCTCAACATAGCTCATCCAAATATTTCCTTTCCAAATTGTATACACAACACATATTTATATTCTGGATTCTGACATGCTCACTCTAATATATCTTCTCTGGATTGTTAATTGGACTTGTTCTGTCATTTCTTGATTTCTTGTTTTGATAGAAAAAAATGTATTTGTATTCTATTTGAGATACAATCTACTGCACTGTTGGAGCTAGTAACCTAAGCATTTCGCTGTGCCTGCTATAACAGCTGCAAACCTGTGTACGCGACCAATAAACTTTGATTTGATTTGATCTGGAGTCATGGACTGCTGTTCTAATGCTGTAAACTAAACAATGGGAAGCCCTCTGTGTTCCCCACCATGACCACTAGAGGGACCCCATGCTTCTTCTCTTGGAACATCTATAATATAATAATAATAAATAATATGCCATTTAGCAGACGCTTTTATCCAAAGCGACTTACAGTCATGCGTGCATACATTTTTTTTTCTTTTGTGTATGGGTGGTCCCGGGGATCGAACCCACTACCTTGGCGTTACAAGCGCCGTGCTCTACCAGATCTTTCATTATTTAGGACCTCTTGGGTCTTTGTTACATCATTTGATGGCCTCTGCTTTCAACCAAAGTCCATACCTTTAATTGGCTGACAAACATACACAGAGACCAAGATATATTTATCTTGAATGGAGAGATTGGACATTGAGGAGAGATTGGACATTGAGTTGAGGGTGTGAAACCCAACGAATGTGGGGCTATAAATGTATTAGCAGTCAATTAAAGTTGTCATTATTTGCGGTAGCACTGCAATTAATAATTTTAACAAAGGCAGTAGGAATGTGATACGATGCATTAGAAGTATTTGGCATTGTTGCTATTCACATAGATATCAAATTGAAAGAAGTCTTGCTTTAAAAAAAAGGCTTTAATGACTGAATCAATATATACAGTAAATTAATAAAAAGGAACCAGTAGACTGACTGGGAAGTTAGTTACCTTTAAACTCTGCGGTGCTGGGATTGATGTGCATCCTTTTCTGACACTCTCCACAGCTCATTAGGAAGCGTGTCACTGCCTCCCTGGGCAGGAAGGCATATGTCTCTGCTATCTGTGCCAGGGGAAAGGTCAGAGGGCACAGCACAGGTCAGGCAGGACAGGAGCAAAGAAGACATGAACTGTTATTAAGGGATCAATGATTATGTTAATGCTGTGTTATGTGGCATGGTGAGGAAGGAGGAAGGAATTCTCCCTCAAGGACTCCAACAACCTCTCTCTCTCTCTCTCTCTCTCTCTCTCTCTCTCTCTCTCTCTCTCTCTCTCTCTCTCTCTCTCTCTCTCTCTCTCTCTCCCCTTCTCTTTCTCTCACTTGCTCTCTCTTTCGCTCATCTGCTGCCAAAGACCTGACTGTTTGACTCGACCATCTACTTACAGTGCATTCGGAAAGTATTCAGACCCCTTTACTTTTTCCACATTTTGTTACCTTATTCTAAATTGGATTAAATAGTTTTTTCCCCCCTCATCAATCTACACACAATACCCCATAATGACAAAGCATAAACAGGCTTGTTTAAAATGTAATAAAAATAAAAAACGGAAATATCACATTTACATAAGTATTCAGACCCTAGCGTCTGGCCACGCTACCATAAAGGCCTGATTGGTGGAGTGCTGCAGAGATGGTTGTCCTTCTGGAAGATTCTCCCATCTCCACAGAGGAACTCTGGAGCTTTGTCAGAGTGACCATCAGGTTCTTGGTCACCTCCATGACCAAAGCCCTTCTCCCCTGATTGCTCAGTTTGGCCGGGTAGCAAGCTCTAGGAAGAGTCTTGGTGGTTCCAAACTGTGTTCTTGGGGACCTTAAATGGGGACCTTAAATGCTGCAGACATTTTTTGGTACCCTTCCTCAGATCTGTGCCTCGACACAATCCTGTCTCGGAGCTCTACGGACAATTCCTTCGACTTTATGGCTTGGTTTTTGCTCTGACATGCACTGTCAACTGTGTGATCTTATATAGACAGGTGTGTGCCTTTCCAAATCATGTCCAATCAATTGAAATTACCACAGGTGGACTCCAATCAAGTTGTAGAACCATCTCAAGGATGATCAGTGGAAACAGGATGCAGCTGAGCTCAATTTCGAACTTATAGCAAAGGGTCTGAATACTTAATATGTAAATAAGTTCTTTCTGTTTTTATTCTTATTTTAATTTGCAAAAAAAAAGAAAAACCTGTTTTCGCTTTGTCATTATGGGGTATTGTGTGTAGATTGATGAGGAAAACGTTTTATTTCATCCATTTTCGAATAAGGCTGTAACGTAACAAAATGTGGGAAAATGGAAGGGGTCTGAATACTTTCCGAAGGCACTGTCTTTCTGCTTTGATTCTCCAGGCTGGAGTCAGAGCTCCTCCTCCTTTTCTCTCTCAGGTGCAGCTGACTCACATACAGTCAGGACCCAAATCATTGGCACCCTTGATAAAGATGAGCAAAAAAGACTGTATAAAATAAATAATACAAATAATGAGCTATATTGAATGCTCAAAAACATTGGGAAATTACATTATTTTATACTAATAAAATTGCTCAGGTAAATAGGTTTTGTTTAACAAGTAATAAAATAACAAAGGCCTCAAGACCAGTGGAAACAAAATAGCCCCATAACGTCAAAAACCCACCACCATATTTTACAGTACAGTGTAGGTATGGTACTGGTGTGTGTGGCCAAATAGCTCTATTTTTATGTAATCTGACTTTAGCACCGGTTCCAATCCAAGTGCTCTGGATAAGAGCGTCTGCTAAATGACTAAAATGTAAAATGTAAATGTTTATCAAACTCCAGGCGGTGCTATGGTGAGATGACATGAAGATAGAGGTCTTTGGCCATACACACCAGTGGTGGGTTTGGCGTTGAAAAACAGAAGCATATGCAGAAAAGTCCCTCATAACTACTGTAAAATATGGGGATGGATCTTTGTTGCTATGGGGCTATTTTGCTTCCACTGGTCCTGGGGCCCTTGTTAAGGTCAATGGCATCATGAACTTGATCAAGTGCCAGGACATTTTAGCCAAAAACCTAGTTGTCTCTGCCAGGATGTTGAAACTTCGCCACAAGTGGATCTTCCAGCAAAACAATAACCCGAAGCACACATTAAAATCCACAAAGAAATGAGTAAAAGACCACAAAATCAACATTTTGCAATGGCCATCTCAGTCCCCGGACTTGAACCCCATTTAATACCTGTGGTTTGAATTGAAGAGGCCAGGAGTCCATAAGCGCAGACCAAGGATATCAAGGACTTGGGAAGATTCTGTATGTATGAATGGTCTAAGATCCCTCCCAATGTGTTCTCCAATCTCATAAAACATTTTTGAAAAAGGCTCAGTGTCGTTATCCTCGCAAGAGGAGGGTGCTGGGGTATTGAAAACAGGGGTGCCAATCATTTTGACCCCTGTTTATTTTTTTTATAACTTGTTAAACTAAATCTCTTTCTCTGAGCAATTGTATTAGTATAAAATAACATAATTTTCCATTTAGCTCAGTATTTGTATTATTTATATTATACAGTGTTTTTTGCTCATCTTTGGGTGCCAATCATTTCAGACCTGTATATTCCCCTCTCTCATGCTCTAGCTCCCTTCCCTGTTTATCTCTGCCTCTCTGCCCCCCCTGGCATTTCTCTGCTAAACAAGGCGACCTTCATGTGACCATGGTGAGGCAGCAGGGGTGCCCAGCTCACCCCCCTCTCTCCCTCCCCCAGAGGCAGAGGAGAAGGAAAGGCCACCCAGAGGAATCTGCACTTCCCAGAAGGCCACGGTGACAGCTTCATATTATGCCCATGCCCCAATGGCACTCAATGCCTTCCCAAAAGGGTACGTACTATGAGACATGACAGGACCTCTCTACGGGGCAGGGGCGAGAGGCACGAGGGAGAAAAGGCCCAGGTCCCCGGAGGGTGTAACAGCCATGCTCCCAAAAAAACTGTCTCACAACACAGACAAAGACCCCCCAGCTGCAGACACAGACATGGCATCTCAGACCTAACTAGATGCTGAATACACTGGGTGAATACACAAGGACTGAGTGAATACAGTTACACCATAGAACAATTTAATCTAGGAATGCATATGCTGTTGATGATGTGATATATATGGACTTTACTTTTGTCTCCTGTTGAGGATGTATGGTTGCCTTAGTAACTACTGATGCTATGAATAAGGAATAGGCAGTCTATAAAATGTCTATTTTATGTGGCAGTCTCTAAGAGAATAGGAAGAAGATGTTTTAGTACAGTCTTTAGTAGGGGTAGGCAATTAGATTCAGCCGCGGGCCGATTTTTGTCAAAGCGGATGGTGGGGGGGCCGGAACATAATTATAATCATTTGTACACTGCAAATTGACCACAACTAAGCCCCAAAGAAGATTGTATTTGAAAATAACAATAATTTCATACCTTGATTACATTGAGACACGATCACACATGTCTCTTTTTCTATTTGTGGGAATACTTGGTGAATAGATTTCCTAAATGAAACTCATTCTTAGCAGAATATTGGGTGATTTTAGTATTTTTTGACCAAAAACTAAAATTCCCCCCACCTCCCCAAAACATATATATATATAGATAGATTTCTTCTAAAAACTTTGGAGGGACAAAATAAATCACTTGCGGGACGGCTTCTTACCGCTTTGTAGGTCTTCTTCTGGCCAGCATGTTTAGGTGCTCTGCCAGGGTCGGCACCCATCTCCACATGCATGGCATAGATGATGTCGAAGAAGTCCTCCACCACTGCCACCCTCTTCAGGGATGAGCTGTCATGGGCCGAGCCTGCATCAGCACACTGGAAGACAGAGAGAGAAACATTCAGTACCCTGCCTGATGACACTGAGGCATGTGTGTGTGTGTGTGTGTGTGTGTGTGTGTGTGTGTGTGTGTGTGTGTGTGTGTGTGTGTGTGTGTGTGTGTGTGTGTGTGTGTGTGTGTGTGTGTGTGTGTGTGTGTGCCCTTACAAAAAAAAGCACATGTCAAATCGCATTTTCACATGTATTAAATTTAGAGTTCACATGTTAACACAACTTTTTCACATGTGAGGAGAATTCACCTCACATGTGAATTTCAATTGCACATGTGAAAATCACATTTGCCGTTTCATATGTGAAAAACTTCCACATGTGATTGTTTTTCACGTGAACTTCCAATTCCACATGTGAAAATTAAAATCAAATTTGCAGTTTTACATGTAAGAAAACTCCAACTGTGTAAAAAATCTCACTTTAACATGTTGAAAGCAGATTCACATGTTTGGTTGAAATAATGTTATGTGAAAAGATGGTGTTAACAGTAGCAATGTTTCTACTGGTGGAATTAGGATGGCCACATCTAAAAAGCCGAAATGTGGGAAAGCCGAAATGTGGGACAAGGGAATGATTTTGCGGGACATTCGCGGAACTGTGGACAGAATAATTTTTTTGGGGGGCAGGTTAATGGATCACGTGCAAATGGCGACATAGTTCTGCTGTATGAAGGTTCAATGCCTGTCAAAGGGGTAATCCTTAGTTGCTATATCAATTTTTGGACTTATAAGTTTATGTACCCATTGATTCTTGAAGAATATAACATATAAATGCCGCTTGAGCTTAATTCAACTGTCGTATCCCATCAGAACCCAAAATATAAAATGTTTTACTCCACTGTTTGAAACAAAGTAAATGTAAACAACCACTGTATAGCCTAAAAACATGGTTAAAACAATACTTTTGATATCATGGACAGTCCTTGCATCCACAGCGTAGTCTATGGATTTGAGAGCAGAACACATGATAAAATCACGTAAACAAATCACGTGAAAAATGTAAAAAAAGATATATATCATATGAGTGAGACGTGGTTTTCGGACACGTGTGAAGTTTCACATCCCTCGTGAAAAAAGGTATTCCCACATTTTACTTTCACATGAAATTTGTCACTTGTTTATTTTTTTGCACTTCCAGCTACATCTGGTCTCCCATCCAGGGACCAAGCCTGCTTAGCTTCAGAGGCAAACAAGCAGTTGGATGCAGGGTGCTATATTTCTGGAATTAATTTAACAAGATGGTTTTCTTATTCAAGCATTGAGAACAGTGAGTATGATTCAGCAGAGCAATATGGATCAGCACACAGGAGAGAAGAATGTGGAGCAGCTCAAACAGGGTCCAGGAAAAATCACCATAGGGTCAGCTTTACTGAGATGTCCAGTGCTGCTGTCTGTGTCTATGTAGATCCCAGCTCTACGAGCTGGGTGCCTGTCTGTGTCTGGGTCTAGCCTAACAGAGTGTTTCCTGACCGATGTCACTGGTCCAGGCTGCTGCTTCTCGCTCTGGGTATCATTTTGCATGTACATTTAAGTCATTTAGCAGACGCTCATACCCAGCAGTTAGTGCATTCAACTTAGGATAGCCAGTGGGACAACCACCCTTTTTTTTATTGGGGGGTGGGGGAAGGGGGGGGGGGGGGGGGGGGTAGAAGGATTACTGTTATACTATTCCAGGTATTCCTTAAAGAGGTGGTCAGTGACTCCGCTGTCCTGGCCGTCGTGGGGAGCTTGTTCCACCATTGGGGTGCCAGAGCAGCGAATAGCTTTGACTGGGCTGAGCGGGAACTGTGCTTCCGTAGAGGTAGGGGGGCTAGCAGGCCAGAGGTGGATGAACGTAGTGCCCTCGTTTGGGTGTAGGGTCTGATCAGAGCCTGAAGGTAAGGAGGTGCCGTTCCCCTCACAGCTCCATAGGCAAGCACCATGGTTTTGTAGTAGATGCGAGCTTCAACTGGAAGGTGTGTCATCACACACCCACTGTCCAGAGCACTGCTGGGGCTGGGGTTGGGTACAGGGCTGGGTCTAGTGTACTGCAGTTGGCACTGATTTTTTTTGTGTTTAGGGAATTAGCTGCCAGATTAGCTTCCCCTTAGCAGAGCTTCTTCACCCCTGCAGAGTCAGTCTCTTTCTCTGTTACACACACTATGTTACTGCTCCACTGCAGAGAGAGAGAGAGAGAGAGAGAGAGAGAGAGAGAGAGAGAGAGAGAGAGGAGGGAGAGAGAGAGGAGTGAGAGAGAGAGGAGAGAGAGAGAGAGAGGAGAGAGAGGAGAAGAGAGAGAGAGAGAGAGAGAGAGAGAGAGAGAGAGAGAGAGAGATGTCTGGGGCTTCATTCGATGGGCACCACCAACACCACCTCATCCCTGCAGTCAGTGTTTAAAAATAACACCACCTCTAGTCCTGTCCAATGCAGAAAGCTCCTCACACAGCCAGCCCCCAGCAGCTACCCTGCTTCCCATGCAGCTGACCCCGTCACCATAGAAACTGCCACTATCTCTCTATCGGGCAGGTGTGGTTGGAACTCACATCGCTACGACAACGGCCTCTGCTTAATAGCCTATCTACCACATGGGCTTTCTTTCACGTGGTCACCACTGGGTTTTCTCTCTCTCCATTTCTCCCTCAACTTTTCTTTCTTTTCATTGTTACATTTGTCTCTATTCTTTATGACTTCATTGTTTGCCCTCTTGCAGTGCGGTTTTATTTTATCTGGTGTATTATTTCCTCAAGAAATGACTTTATTGTAAACATAAAAATATGTGAACTGAGGCTTATGTGCATGGTTTATAGCCCTAAATAGAAGCTGAGGTCAGTGAAACAAAATAATGGAATATTATATGCATCTAGTCGAGTCCCTGGTGGACAGCACAAATATAGGTTCCAAAAGCTGTGGTTTGTGACTAGCTGTGAGATGTCAGGGGATGTGTTCTTGTGTTCCTGGAGGAGGGTCCAGAGTTCAGAAAGTTATCCTCTGGCATCACTGAGGAATATCACTATTTTTCTCTCCTCTGACATTTCTATCCTGCTCCTGCTATCTGACGTTTCTTTCTCTCCTCCTCCCTCCCTACCTCTGTCCCGTTCATTATTTCTTCCCCTTCTCCTTGCTACTGCTCTCCCAAGTGCAAGGTAATGATCGTTGCCATGGCAACTAAAACCAGCTCACAGAGCAGGTTTGTTTTAATCCGGCCCCACTCCTCTCTCTCTCTCTAGCCACGCTCCCTCCCTGTCAGCATGTTCTAAATGTAATAGCCTAATGATAATGAAAAAAAATAATGCTAACAATCCTAATCATCATCACTCCTGTATCATTTTCCTGATGACATCATCATTATTCAGGACCAAAATAGTGAGTGAGCAGGTACATTATTTTTTGGCATTCTCTCCAAAATAGTAATCCAACCTAAGACGCTTTTGTGCTGCACATACCCGGACATCTACCAGTGTTAGATCTGCTATTCTCCTATAACACTTTATATCTCACTAACCAAGATTCCTATAGCTGTTGTTGCCTCCTATGCCTCCTCGTTTTGAGTGAACAGTGGTACAGCCAAGACTCAGCCAAGATTTTGGATCCCTTTGAAGGGTTGCAGATTGCCAGTGAAGATAAACAGATAAACTCTTCACTTGCAACATATGCACAACTCAAGGGGTATTTTAAACCTTCATTCACACAGTGTGTGTGTGTGTGTGTGTGTGTGTTTGTGTGTGTGTGTGTGTGTGTGTGTGTGTGTGTGTGTGTGTGCTTATGTCAGTGTCTGTGTCTGTGTGTGTTTGCGCACGCTCATGTTTGTGTGTTTAAATGCTCCTCTATCTGTTAATTCAGCATAGTCCACAAGGTGTATGTTGCGTTGAATCGCAGAGGAGGAGATCAGCTGTTGAATGGTTGTGTAAATATGTGGTCTCATCAGCATCCCAGCGTTTTACAGGAGGAAAACATGTCAGCAGCCCTAATCACCATCACCACATAAACCTATCAACACTCAACTCCAACTCTCTCTCTCCCTCTTTTCCTCCCCCTCTCTCTCTCATTCTTCCCGTTTCTCTTTCTCCCCATCTTTCTAATCCCATAGGACTTTGCTCTCCCGAGCCACAGCACACACCCCATCCCCTCCTATCTTCCACTCTCTCTCTCCTCTCCCTGTCCCGCTCCAAACAGCTCTGTTGCTAGGAGACTGGAGGGGTTGAATCGGACGGGCCGCCCCAACCACCCCCCTCCCCCCCACGTGAGGGGAGAGGAGGAGAGGAGAGAGTGGAGGAGAGGAGAGAGCAGTCCTGCACATAGACGAGTCGGGGGGGGGGGTGCTGGAGGCAGCTGGGTCACACAGACAGGCCAGTGGAGAGCAAGTGAGAAAAACACAGCAAACATTTCAAATGGAAAGGGCACTTTATCCTCAATGGAGGAGAGAGAGCAAACACTATAAAACAACACATACATTACAGGATTTACAGTTGTATGTTTTCACAATACTGCCAGTAGCAATACTACAGATACAGTATAGCTATGTGTAAATTAATGAATAAATATTACATATTTACATTTTAGTCATTTAGCAGACGCTCTTATCCAGAGCGACTTACATGAGCAATGAGGGTTAAGTGCCTTGCTCAAGGGCACATCGACAGATTTTTCACCTAGTCGGCTCGGGGATTAGAACCAGCGACCTTTCGGTTACTGGCACAACGCTCTTAACCACTAAGCTACCTGCCGCCCCATATAATAGGCTACAGTCCATAAAAAGATAGCTGTAATCATATGCAGTTGGTTATGGGTGGCCGTGGCAGAGAGACGGTGCTCCAAAGAAAGAAAGAAGAACAGTGGGGGTAAAGGATGGCTGTTTCAACAGCGCTCACGACTCAGATTATCTCATTGCAGATGTGACAACAGGTCACCTTTTAAAGTCCCATCTCCTCGTGGTAAACCCATCAGCGAGGTAATGGACGCATAAATGGGAAAGCCCTGGTGTCCTCAGTGGGGAGGGGGTAGAAGGGGGGTACCACAGTGAGGAAGGGGCTAAGGGACTAGGATGACCTAACAGGGTGAAAAATATATAAAACAATCTCCTTGACCCTCTTTTTAATACGTACCTTCACCCTCTCCTCTTCCTGCTGGCCACCCTCTTTATTTCTATTTTTTACTCCCTGTTCCTTTGCTCACAATCTCTCAGTTCATAAAACCCCTTCATTAAATCCACATTTGGTCTGCTGCGCTCTCCCCCTTTGTCACCCTTTCCCCTGTTTTCCCTTTTTTTCTTTTGGGGTTTTTCCCCCTTCTTTTTTCGGGTTTTTCCGTTTCTCTTTTTCGGTTCCTCTTTGGTATTCTTTTTTTCCCCTCCCTTTCCCCTTTTCTTTTTTTTTTTGTTTTTTTCCCCTCTGTTATGTATCTTTTACCCTTTGTCTCTTTTCTCTGTTTTTCTGTCTATCTGTCTTCTCTTTCTTTTTGTCTTTTCTTTTGTTTTTCTTCTTTGTCTTATCTATTTGTATTTATTCTCTCTTTATCTTCTTTTGTCCTCTATCTTCTTATCTTTCTTCTCTGGTCCCCTTTTTATTCTGGTCTTCCTTTTTTTTCCTACTCTCTGTCTTTGGGTTCTTTGACTATGGTCTCTTTTGTTCTTTTTCTGTTTGGGTTTTTTCTTTTGTGGGCCTTACTTTTTCCGGTTTCCCCTTGGGAAGCTTTCTGTTTTCGCCTCTCTTCTACCCTACCTCTCCCCTCTTTCCCCTCTCTTCTCTCTCTCTCTCTCTCTCTCTCTCTCTCCCTTCTTTCTCTCAGACTGTGTTTATGTTCCAGTCACCACCCCAAACGGAACATTCTGATGTACTACACATTACGTTCTGCAATCTGGGCCTAACACATTCCTTTTATCATTGGCTTATTACTACATAATTACTATATATTTTCTATTGATGTTACACTGGTGTATTGGTCCAGCTACAGCATAAAAAAATTACAGTAGCAGAGTGTAGTAGTAAGATTGAACACTGAGTCGTAAGGCTGTGGTGTGGTGTGTGTGTGTGTGTGTGTGCGTGGTGTGTGTGTGTTGTGTGTGTGTGTGTGTGTGTGTGTGTGTGTGTGTGTGTATGTGTGTGTGTGTGTGTGTGTGTGTGTGTATGTGTATGTGTGGTGTGTGTGTGTGTGTGTGTGTGTGTGTGTGTGTGTGTGTGTGTGTGTGTGTGTGTGTGTGTGTGTGTGTGTGTGTGTGTGTGTGTGTGTGTGTGTGTGCGTACTAAGATCTGGAGCAGAGCTCAGACTTTCTCCCACACAAGGGCGAGGCCTCCAGACCAGTTAAAAATTGTGTTCATTTCTCCTCCTATGGGAGCAAAGAACTGTCTCTCCATGGCAACAGAGAGGGTGCTTAGAGGAGGAAAATCGAGCAGGGCGATCAACGACCCCCTCTTCGGACAGACACACACACCCACCCACACACACACACACACAGTAACATATACATTTTTACACAAAAACACACACTCACTGTGATATCACACTCTGTGCACAGCTTACAAGAGATTCATTACAAAAATATTACCAAAATGCTAGGAACACATTGGCTTAAAATATGTAGGCCTATCAAATTCCCTTGTCCTAGAAGAGGCCTCATTCACACAAGAAAGGTGGTTGCATTGTGTGTCTATGTGTGTCATCTACATCCAAAGCAGAGGAGCCTTGAACATCATTTATTAAGGGACACTGAGGGCCCAAATTCAATATATTTTATAATGTGTAAAATAAACTGTATAGGGATCAAATTGAGGAGACACTGGAGGCACAAAGAAGCACTAAAATAACCACTGCATACAATCAATCCTAAAGAAGTAGGTGAATTGGAGACTTAGCTTGAGAGAGGCTTTGTTGCTGAAACATCGACATTAAAAGCAGTCTTTATTATATCGCCTTGTCCTTTTTATATTAAGGGGGCAATCTGCTTCATCCATTTTTGGACTTCTGAATTATTAGATGTATCCATTTATTCTTGAAGAATATAACTTATAAATGTTTCATGAGCTTAGTTCAACTGTCGTACCTCATCAGAACCCAAAATATAAGTTTATTTCACTCCAATGTTTGTAAACAAAGCAAATGTAAACAAACACTTTATAGCCTCAAAACATGGTTAAAACTATAATTTTGATATACAGTATATCATGGATGGTCAATCATTGCATCCATAGCTATGTCTATGAATTTGAGAGGGGTCACATTTCTCCAGCCCTATCCCTCAGCTTTTTACCGAAACAGGGGTGGGGAGCTTGCTTTATTATTGTTTCAACTCCTGATTGCCACTTTAAGGTAAATTCTCTCCCATCTCGCCAGGTTGAGAGTGAAGAGCAAAGTGGTGACTTTGGTTAAGGTATTTAGCGTTTGGTGCAGACCTAATAACCCATGTGCCAACCCATAGAAACTGAATAGGAGGGATAAACAGTGGCTAGATTATGCTGGAGTTGTGCCATGCAAAACTGTTAGCATTAATGCAAATGTTGTTGAATGAAAGGAGCACTATTCTTTTGACTCCGTGCCCTTCTAACAGAGGGGAGCTCTCAGGGGACGTGGAATAATTAATCAGATAATAATGATGATGTTCCTGCTCCATTTTGATGGCAGAACACAAATATTTGGTACTTAATTTCCGTTCCCTGTCTGCCTCAGAGGGGGACATACTCAACTACTCCCACACCTTTCAGCCTTTTCTTTCTGTTACAATAATACATTCACTGGGTTACAGTTCACTGGGTTACAGGGTTACAGAGTATTTAAGATGTCAATTAACCCTTTATGCCCTTTATGACAGCACTTCCTGCAACCTTAGTCTTAACACGGGTAGCTTACATATGGAGTCCCATGCCTAAGGCGGTGCTGTGTGTGGTGAGAAACTCCTACCAAACCCAGACTGTGAATGAGGGATAGAGATATTTACAGGTTGCTGTTGGCATGGCAACAAAAAAACTGCTCTCATCCATAAAAAAAAGTAGCTGCCATATTCTGAGCAACAAGAGAGAAATGAACACAACATTCCTCTTTGAAATGGAGGGCACACCTATTGCTGAATAAATTATTATATGTGCAAACCAGATTAGTGTTAGACTGTAT